CCACACACACACACACAGAGGCTGGGCTGTCCCACCTGGTGAGCCTTCACCTGTCTGCCCAGGCCCTGCCCACGCCCGGCCCCATCTTGGTCTCCGGGTTTGTCTGCTGGACCCTCCTTCATGGCTGCTTTCCATTGTTTTGATTTGTTGTTGTTGTTGTAACTCGTGACCCGAGGTAATTTTCCCATTGATTTTAGAGAGAGTGGAAGAGAGGGAAAGACAGAGAAATATCGATGTGAGAGAAACACATCGATTGGTTGCCTCCTGCACACGCCCTGACCGGTCCGGGCCAGGGAGGAGCCTGCAACCGAGGTACCTGCCCTTGACCGGAATCGAACCCGGGACCCCTCGGTCCGCAGGCCAACGCTCTATCCACTGAGCCACACCGGCGAGGGCTCTGTTGTTTTGATTTTAAGAAATTGCTCCGACTGTGTTTGCTCGAAAATAGTGGAAAGAACCCCTGACTGTCCCCACACCTCAGTGCCTGACTCCAGGTGGGGCGGGCGGAGACCTGGGGACGGGCGGGCAGCCCTCGCCAGCCCTGGGCTCCTCCTGTTTCCCTCTGCCGGTTGGATGGGGGCAGCACCGCCTATGCCAGGGCCTGGCAGCTGTGGGTTAGGGTTAGAGGCGATGGAACCGGGAGGGAGCCCAGGGGACCGATGGCAAGGGGCTCGTGCTGCTCCCACAGGGTCCGCCGTGCGGAGGAGAGGCCGCGACTCCCTGGGCATCGCTGTCCCTCTGGTGCTCTGGCTGGGGGAGGAGACACGACTGTGTGTGAGGCTTGGGGACCAGCTGCAGGGGCACAGGTGCTTTTGGCTCCCTCCACTGTGTCACCCCCTCCCGGGTTTGTTGGGCTCAGACCCACAGGTGTCCCCCTGGCCCTATCCTGTGTTCACCTTGCTCACAGAGGACCTATCGGTGAAGACCATAGGCCATAGAGGATAAGTGAGGATCTGCAGGGTCGGTCAGGATGAGTGTCCCGGGGCTCTGGGGGATGCGTAGGAGTTTTCGGGGGGGGGGTGTCCAGCAAAAGCAGAGACATGGTGACATGAGTACGGCCTCCACCCCAGGCACAGCCATGAGGATTCCCACTCATGGGTTCACTCACCCCGCAGGGAGCTCACCGAGGTCCATGCCCTTACTACCCGCGTGTTACACATGGGGAAACAGGCACGGTGTCGCGCTGTGAATAGCCCAGGAACCCAGGTAGGAAATGACGAGCCCAGTCAGAGCTCAGTGGTTGAGCGTCGGACTTCTGAACGGTTGATTCCCAGTCAGGGCACAGGCCTGGGTTGGGGGCTGGATCCCCAGTAGGGGGCGTGCAGGAGGCAGCTGGTCAGTGGTTCTCTCTCATCATTGATGTTTCTCTCTCTCCCTCTCCCTTCTTCTCTGAAATCAATGAAAATACATCTTTTTAAAAAGAAGGACAATGACAGCCGGGGTTTGAAGCCCCTCTGCCGGTCGGTGTGTGCGCTGGGCGGTGAGGGGCCGGCTGTGGCCTCGGGCTCTGGGCACCCGGGGAGCCGTCTTCTCCTGAGGATCACGAGTGACCCTTTGGGTTAGCAGGCTGGCTCGTGGGGGTGGGAGACGCGGGGCCGGCAGGGGTGAGTGCGAGCAGAGGCACCTCGAGTTCGGAAAGGCCCTGGGACTTGGTGGCGGCGGAAGGAGAGGGTTCCAGTCTGTCGGGAGGAGACATCCAGGGGCTGCCTCTGGGAGCATCTGAGACGGAGGCCCAGCCGGTCAGGTCCCCGGTGGGGG